AGAAATTAACTCATTTTTACGTTAGGTAAAAAAAAACAGTACAGTGGGTAGAGCATTTTCTCTGCATGTGGCTAACACAGATTTATTCCCCAAGCCCCATATGGTCCCTGAACTTCTTCTGGAGCGATCCCTGAGAGCAGAGCAAGGAGTATATCCTAATCACTGATGGGTATCACTCAAAACTCAAAATAAAATAAAAATAAAATGGCTTTGGAGAGTGCTTATATTGGAATTTGTGGACATTTGAAGCTGGAAGCAGCTAACTAAATGTAGGCCATTTTATGGATTGATTGGGGATCATATTTGACTTTCTCTCCTATGTTGCAAAGATGGAAAGAGGAAGAAACAGGAAAGCTGGCAGTCATTGGCTTATTCTTATTACCCTGGACAGTTGCTGCAGATGTTTGGAGATGGTTTCCAGGGCTGCTTATTTGGATTGAATTTATTGTCACGTGTGGTCTCTCCTTTGGAACCCTGTGCATTCCGTCTCAGTCTACCCACCTGCCAGTGAAGCTACAGAACTTAATTTCTCAAGTGCTAGCTAGTAGTCTTCTGTCTCTATTTAGCATTTAACGTATAGCAAATGTAAAATGAGATGAGCTTTAATGATATACTACATAGTCAATTTCCAATCCTCTCTCTGTAAAACATTATTAAATATTTTTTAATTTTGAAAACATGTTGATGATATTTGAAATATGTTATATGGATAATATTTCAGGTAGATTTCATATCTTTCATTTTTCTAGTATGGTCAGGAGAGCATTTTAAATTTCATATAAATCGCCTGTGACTTGTGCGATGCCCCTCTTGGACAGTATTAAAGTGTCAGGGATTGGGGGCATGCTGGCCCTGGGAAATCCCTCACAAATACTCACATATTAAACATTTTTTTTTTCCATAACTAGAGCAGAGAAGCTTAAAGGGAGAGCACATTTCAAAAAATGAAGAGTTGAAATGAAAAGGCTTACCATTTCAAAATATTATTATGTGTGGCCAGAGAGATAGTACAAAGGTTAAGACTCTTGCCTTGGGAAGACCAGGCATGATCTCTAGCACTGCAGATGGTCCCTGGAGCACTGCCAGGAATGAGCCCTGAGCATAGAGCCGGGATTAATCCCTGGTTTATACAGAAAACAAAAAATCCCTACTATCTTAAAATTTTATGGAAATGACTCACATAGATTTGGGGAAAGACTACCTCGTGGTTTAGGAGACCTCTTAATTTGTTCTTTGATTGATTAAATAATCAATAATGCAAGTGAAGGATTAAATCACAGAGTCCCTGACTAATCCAAGCAACTAAAATGGTTGCTGCTTTTCTGATTTGGTGGCATTATTTTTCTCTTGTCTAGAGAAAGTGGTTAGTAGCTAAATACAGAAAAAGGAATCTAGTATTCAAGGAAGAACTAAGCCCAGTGTCTGTTTTTCTGACAGTGAAGTGGTCCATAAGTAGAACCTATGAGATAGGTGAGGGCAAAGGTGATTATCTGATGGTACTAAAAGAAAAATGATGTTCATTAGTCAACTTTAAGCTCTTCTTCCTTTCTGGATGAGTGTTTTGCATTCATCAAATTTTCCCATTTTATTCAGGTCCTTTGTAGAACTGTTGGTTTAAACCAAGTATTTAAAATATTTAACACCATTTAATACCATAATACTATTAGCCACTATTGTCTCCAGTGCATCTTTTTTTTTCCTGGCAACTCAAGAATGCAAAACTAAAGCAAGTCTCAAAGGTTCATATTGTTGAAAGGGTTGCTGAAGATTAAAAATAGCATAGCAGTTTATCTATGGCTGCTGGGATATTGGTTTACTTTTCTCACAGAAACAGGCTTTAATTACAGAGCAAAAAATAAACTGGACTTGATTGCTCTGAGAAAAGACTGACATTTCAGTCGCTCCCTCAAAATACTTATTGATGTTGATGTAAGAGGAACTGAAGAGTCAGAATACAAAGGAGCTTTGTGTTGCCAGCAGTTGGGGAAGCATCCTTTGTCTTTCCAACTTAACAGTTTTGATATAGAAGTCAGTGAGAAAGAATAAATATCAAACACAACATTGTCATTTTCACCATCTCTTTTGTGTCTGTACTTTAGAAAATACCCACAGTGAGACAACTGAAGTGTTTGAGCTGCTGGAGGAAAAAAAGGAAAATGAAACTGACCACATCCCAAATTTATACTTAGAGAAAGATATTATTTACAATAATTACAGCTGCACTTTCCACACACATGAAAGGCAGATAACGATTTAACATTCAAAAGGGAGAGATAATTCTCATCCAGCATAAATGGTGACATGTAAACCCCTTTGAGCATGCAGTTGGATTTTAGTTTAAAAGCATATGCAGTGGTAGATTTCAAAAGAGAAAGCTCTGGGTATTCAGAACTAAAGATGCCAGGCTTCCTTTTCTCACCACAGTGAGGGGCTTCATAGCGTTCCTTAGAGAAATGTTCCTTGCAAATAGGTAAACATTTGCATTAAAAAGATAAACAAGGTAGACAGCAAGGATAACAGGTAACCAGAAAGTGATCAATTTGAAAACAATTCCTAAGTACCTGGTAGAAGGATTAAGCTAGGAGCCAGAATCCTCAAAGGAACAGTGCTAATAGTCATATTTTCCTGAAGAAGTACACCTAGCTAGAATTTTTTTTCTTATTTGATTACTCAGTTACTCAGCTTCTTGGTTTGAGGCCTTTTTTGTTGTTGGTTTTTATTTGGGGTGGGGGTGGGGGCATTGTGAATGCAAGTCCTGGTGAAACAGTGAAGAAGCATGGAAAAAAAATCTTGGATTGATTCTACAGAGTGCAAAAGCCAAAAGCATTATTTATATTTTATTATACTTTAAATTATATTTATTATATTTAAGAATTTTAAGAGACAATGTGAAAGATGTCTAAAGTCCACACACTTTCTTATCATTCCTCAAGAAAATGTGATATTGGTAGGAAGCTCTGAGAACTACAAATCAAGAATTCACTCCCAGTCAGCAGAAGCTGGTTCTTGGCACTCTCAAACCCTCATCATTCTCAAGTGTGCAGAAGGAATGCTTTAAATAACTCATGAAAATGGCAAAGAAAATTTCAGATTTCAAAACATTTTAGTGTGAAGGAACCCAAAGGAACAGCAGCAAAATCATCAATCCCCAGCAGTATTCCTCCCCTAAGTCCGTGGTAGTACAAACCATAAATCAAATGGAACATGCATACTTTTGCTTTTAACGGTTATGCCAGTAATTACCTTATTTGTATATTTTGGACTAAATCAAGTATCATTTATATACTGGTAAAAGAAAAACCCAAAGTTGAATTGAGTTGTTTTTATAAATAGTCAGACAAAAAAATGTTTATAATGTGTCAAACAGTAAGACCCATTGCAAATACCAGTTCCTGTAAGAAACTTGGTAGCACAGAGGCAGAAGTAAGCTTTGAGCACAGCCTGTCTACTGGACCCAATGTTCACCCCCCACCCCCCGCCACAAAATACCCATGTAATCATCCCCCTCTCAGAGAGCCCGGCAAGCTACCAAGAGTATCTTGCCCACACAGCAAAGCCTGGCAAGCTACCCATGAGGTATTCGATAGGCCAAACACAGTAACAACAAGTTGCACAATGTTACTGAGAGGACAGTGGCAGTGACAATAGTATTATGCTAGTATTATGTTCATCTAGTTTTTAATCCACAGGGTATTAGAAATATTCAGCACAATCTTCAGAGGTCCTATTTATTTAAAGATTAGTTAACTAAGAAACCAAGATCTATTATAATGAGGGGTTTACTATCTTAGGGTAAATTGAGAATATAGTGAGAATCAATAGTCTTGATTGTTAGATTTACTGGGTCAACATAGAAAGTACTACTTTAGATTCCATGATTACTGCAAAATTAAATGGATTAACCTACATCTCTATTATAAAGTAATAAATTCATGGCAGAGAGAACTGTCATTCTAAATTCTCACTTTCTGGATATTACCATGAATTTGAATTCACGCATGCTGTGGATCTTATGATTTCTCAACTCCCTAGGTTACAGTGGTTCAAATTCTGCCAGTAGCATTTAACTTGTGTTTCAACTGTTTTATTTGTAATGTTCACATCTGTGTACTTAGATCAAAATAGAGGGGATGGCAAAAAAACATAATATTGATGGCTTAGGTGAAAAAAGTCATGATAATCTACTGGGCTGTCAGTAAAAAGTGTTACTTTCTCTGAACTCATCTCAAGGCTACAATTGTCCTTTCATTAAGGAGTAATGACTTTAGCCTTCAAATAAACACCCAACAACATATATATGTATATATACAATTATATTCTTTTAATCTCTAAATAATATTCACTGTATGAGGATCGACCTTTACTGTAATTCTTGGAGCACTGTATATCTAAGTACATTATCTAATAAGTAGATTAAACACACTATAGATGCCTAAGGTGATATGCTTTATAAGAACAATTTCTCTTTGATTCACCACTATATTATCATTTATTCATGATATCTGGTAGATGCAGAAAAATATAGGAATGTCAGATTCATAACCTATTCTGCTTTATTTAATGGTCAGAAGACATTCTATATATTATACTTTAGAACATATTGCCTCTAATCATAGACAAGATCTTTGGAATGTGATCAAAGTATTAAAACATTTGTGATGTATCTTGTGAAACACTAGTGTAGTTGGCTTAGTTTCAACACATGCCATAGACATAAGATAAGTAATTGAAATTCAATTTCTCCTGTTTTTTTGGCTTTGCTTTGTTTAGGAGATCTGGCTGTGTTTAGGGTTCACTCCTGTATCTCTAATCAGGAATCACTCCTTGTGGTGCTCAGAGAACCATATAGGGTGCCTATGATTGAATTCAGGCTGGCCGCATACAAGGCAAGTGCCTTACCCACTGTACTATCTCTCTGGCTCCTTTTCTATATTTTATTTCAAAGGTCTATATAAAATTTCAGGAAGAGAACTTTCACTTATTATAACTGCTTTTTATGTATAAAATATAAACATTTCATGATTTTATATGCCATTTTTGCACAGGGTCCATGCTAATCTTTGGATCATTCAAATTTTAGTATATGTGCTAATGAAGTGAGCACTACAACTGTATTTTATTGAAGTTGTATCTCCCACCACCAACGTTTTACCATCCATTCACCACAGACTGTTTAACTCTTTTATTCCACTCTCCCTCTCCCGTATAACACCTGTGATCAGAGTCCAAAACTTTTACTCACACAAGTCTTCTACAAGCATATTCACACTGGTTATCATTATCTATTTTCTTACTTTGTTTCTTTACATAACACGTTTGAAGGAAGTGATATCTTCTGGTCAGTACTTATTTTATTTAGCATGACCCCTGTTGATTCTATCCCAATTATAGCAAAAAGCAAGACTTCATCTTTTCTAATAACTGGATAGAAAATTCCTTTGTGTATATAATCCACATATTTTAATAGAATTATTTATAAAAACACAATTTATGTTAATGATAGGGTTTTGCTAATTCAACATCCCAGTGCCATATCCTACACAAGAGTCCCTACTTCCTCCCACCATTGTCTCAAGGATCCCCCTGTCCACTCAATCCATTAGACTTAGACCACATCTATTTTATCTATTCATCTGTTGTAGGCATTTGTTTCCAGATCTTAGTTATTGAAAATAATGCTGCAGCGAATGTATCAAATGTATCCTTTTGATTTATTGTTATGTGTTCTTTGATAGCTACTTAGGAGTTGAATTTCTGGATCATCTGAGTTACATTTTTAATTTTTTGGAGAAATACCCATATTGTTCTCTATAGTGGCTCCAGTTTACAAAATTACAAGTGCTATTGAGGATCACATCATATTCAATTGACTGTTTTGCTTGACCAATGTCTCTGTTGTCCCAAAATTCCAAACAGCATAGGAACATTGTCTCCTTCATGCAAAATTCTAATTCACAGAGTGGGGAGAAAGGGCTGCAAAGTTTAAGAAAAGAATTCCCAGAGTAACCACCAACTGGGAGTTCTTTGGCACTATTATGGCAACTTGGGAAGATGCCATTCTTTTATATTTTATTTTATTTTATTTTATTTTTTAATTTTATTTTTATTAGTGAAACACCATGAGGTAGAATTGTAGACTTAACAAATTTTTGTGCTTGGGTTTCAATTATACAATGATCAAATACCCATCCCTCCACCAGTGCCCATTTCCCACCACCATGGATCCCAGTATCCCCCATCCCACCCTGCCTCTGTGGCAGGGCATTCCCTTTTGTTCTCTCTCTCCTTTTGGGTGTTGTGGTTTGCAAAAGAGGCAATGGGTGACAATCATGTTCAGTCTATAGTCTACTTTCAGCACACTTCTCCCATCCTGGGATGATCCTCCCAACACCTTTATTTGGTGTTCCCTTCTCTATCTGAGCTCCCTTTTCCCCTAGCATGTGTGGTTGGCCTCCAAGCCATGGAGTAAAATTCCTGGTACTAATCTAGGCCATTCTTGGGTGTTAATCTCCTATTTTGTTACTTTATGTTCCCCAGATGAATGCAATCTTTCTATGTCTATCCCTCTCTTTCTGACTCATTTCGCTTAGCATGAAACTTTCCATGTAGTACCACTTGTATGTAAATTTCATGACTTCATCTTTTCTAACAGCTACATAGTACTCCATTGTGTAGATGTACCAAAGTTTCTTTAACCAATCATCTGTTCTTGGGCACTCAGGTTTTTTCCAGATTCTGGCTATTGTAAAGAGTGCTGCATTGAACAAACAAGTGCAGATGTCATTTCGACTATACTTTTTTGCCTCTCTGGGATATATTCCCAGGAGTTGCATTGCTGGATCAAATGGGAGCTCAATTTCTAATTTAGATGCCATTCTTGACAACATTAACGAAGAATACAATCAACTGGTTCAGCACCTCCATGACTGCACAAGGAATGCCGAGAGTGGGGAAGCCACAAAGAGATGCCTGTCTTCGGAAACACTTGAGTTCATTCGCCAACGTGGTGTGGCACATGCCGCAGGCAACCACAAGCTAACATCTGAGCTTGCAAAGCTGTGCAGAAAAGCAATAAAGAAGACCTCAAAGAGAGAAGAGCAGCAGTGCTGGCAGATGCAGCAGAAGCCAGGAAAAACATTCTTAACGCCTGCCTGTCCTTCGCCAACTACAAGACCAAGATGACTGCCCTCTGACATCCTGATGGATCTATCACATCTTCCAGATGGGCAATGGAGAAGATTATCTAGCACTTCTACTCGGATCTCTTTAATAGCCATGTCCACCTGCCCACATACCAAATTCCGCAGGGTGAATTTTGTTCCCAACGTTCTCCCTTCTGAAATCCGACACACCATTTCGTTGGTAAAGAAGCATATAACTCAGTCCAGACAAGGTCAGACCCGAACACCTGAAGAATCTTCCATCAGTACTCATCAATACACTGGCTTGGCTCTTCACACGCTACCTGTCTGAATGCAAGTTTCCATTCCAATGGAAAACCAGCAGGACCGTTCTACTGTCCAAGAAGGGAAACATTCACAACATTGGCATCTATCACCCAATCTTCTTTGTCATCTACATGTTGTTCACTTCAGTCATCCTGAATACAATAGGCATAGGCAGGACACTAGACAGAAGGACAACCATGCGAGCAAGCTAGGTTCCAAAAAGGATTCAGCATGAATCGACCATATCCACATGGTGACCAAGCTCACTGAAATTTCCCAAGAGTTCAGGATGCCGCTCTGTCTAACAATTTAAAGAAGGCCTTTGATTCTGTTGAGACTGGAGAGGTCATTGAAGCCCTAGCCAAACAGGACGTTCAAACTCAATACATCAGGATCTCCTGCAAGCTATATTATGGATTCACCACCAGGATATCACCATCCTACAAGGAAGTTATCATCCATGTCAAGAGAGGGGTTTGGCTGGCTGATACCATTTCACCGAAACTCTTCAGTGCCACCCTCAAGAATGTCATGCGATGGCTGTAATGGGAAGAAATGGGAGTGAAGATAGATGGTCAGCAACTATACCACCTCCATTTCAATGATGACATCATTCTAATAACAACAAACACTAGCCAAGTGGCACAAATGCTTGCCGACTTCGACTGTGAGTATGGAAAGGTTGGACTGCAGCTGAATCTCACCAAGACAGTGCTCATGAAAATGAACTAGTCCCTGATGTTCCATTTATTCTCAACAGAGCAAACATCTCCGAATGCAGAAGTTATGTGTACCTGGGTCAAGAACTCAATATGAGGAATGACTTTGCGCCAGAACTGCACAGGAGGAAGAGAGTGGCGTGGGACGCCTTCAAATGCATCAAAGAAATAGCTAAGAGGACAAAGAACCTCCATCTCTGGGCACATATTTTCGACTCCACAGTCCTTCATACACAAACATACACCTCAGAGACCTAGGCCCTATGAAAACAGGACGAGAACACTATTCCAGTATCCCAAAGAGGAATTAAAAGAGCTATGCTTGGAATATAACATTTCACTCAAGTGAGAGAAGGAATCTGGAGTTCCGGCCTCCATTGATGATGAAGAATCAGGGTCGCTGTCTCATTTGCCAAGATGCCGAAAATCAGATGGGCCAGACACAAAATGCAATTTAGAGAGGACTGCTGGACTAGAGCTATTACTGACTGGATTCCACAGGATGTCAAGAGGACGCGTGGTCACCTACCTATGAGATGGTCAGACTTCTTTATCAAAACCCTAAATAAATGGTTTGAGGCTCTTCATGTTCCTGGAGCGAGCAGATGCCATGGGGCTACACTAGTACGCAACAGTGACAAATGGAAATGCTATTGGTGCTTGCTTGAGCAAATTGAAGACCAACAGGATGACAAGTGATACAAGTGATTAGAGATGTGGAGTTAAATGAATCCTCTTTTACAGTTAGTGCTATGAAGTTGTCTTTTTATTTTGAAAAATTTCTTATTTGAAAGTGGATTATTTTGAAGTTGAAGCACTGTGATTTACAAAGTTATTCATGATTGAGTTTCAATCATACAAACCAATCCCTTCATCAGTGTCCACTTCCCTACCAGTGTTCCCCGTTTCCCTCCTACCTCCTAGCAGAGCAAATTTATAATAGAAAATTTTTTTCACTTTTGAGTGTCATGATAAAGTAATCTTACTTTAATAGCTGTTAACTTTTATATTTATAAAGCAAAGAGAAGGTCCAGATTGTCTCTGAGTTTTCTTTTGAATAGTTCCAATTGCCAGTCTGGTATAATAACATTAAAAAAATAAACAATGTGCATGTTACGGTATTAAAATAGTGATAATGTTCTAGCTCTTGTGACTGTTGTCTCTGACAATAAATAGTGTTATACTGTTTGCTTGCCATAGGAAATGATTTTCAGTTTCAGAAAATGAAAAAAAAAATTCAGGTGATTTTGTGCTACAGAACTATATCTTGCTCTGTAAAAGTGCCTGGGATCAAACTGGGGCCTCCTGTATACAAAGTGTACACTCAGTGTTATATCTCTTGCACTCACCCCCCCCCCCAAAAAAAAGATTAACAATATCTTTAAAGAAGAGCATCGTTGATAAATAGAATGGACCTTGGTGTAAGTGAATGTTATTTGTAAGAAGTAGGTATGACAAAGCAGTAATAATTAAAACAGCATGGTACTGGAACAAAGGCAGAACTGCAGACCAATGGAACAGGGTTGAATACACTGACATCTCTCCTCAATCATATGCTCATCTAATCTTTGATAAAGGTGCAAGTAATGTGAAGTGGAGTAAGGAAAGCCTCTTTAATAAATTGTGTTGGCATCACTGGACGGCTACATGCAAAAAAATAGGCTCAGAACTCTGCCTAACACCATGTACAAAAGTAAGATCAAAATGGATTAAAGACCTCAACATCAGACCAGAAACCATAAGGTACATTGAAGATAAAGTTGGCAAAACCCTCCATGACATTGAAGCTAATGGTATCTTCAAAGATGCCACGCCACTGGCCGAGCAAGTGAAAACAGAGATAGATAAATGGGACTATCTTAAACTAAGAAGCTTCTGCACCTCCAAAGAAACAGTGACCAAAATACAAAGACAGTCTACAGAATGGGAAAGGATAT